ATATCTCAAATCTTATTGAAGCAGGATTGACTGCATTTTTTCAACATTAAACTTGTGGGGACGAGTTCGAATTGTCTTTCTCGATATAAATAAATGTTACCAACAAACCATCTTCTACTGCAGTTAAAAAAAAAACATGTTACTTCTACTCAATACCATTGTCGTTAAAGACTAGAGAAAACCAGCTGAGCTAAATTTCACTACAAGTTAAAAAATCTGAGAAAGTGGGGTACTCACCCTTTTACCTGGTTGTGAAGTTACTGGACCATCAGCAGAACTGGGACCCTGATCTCGCTGAAATCATTACTACATGTCAGAACGTCCGAAGCATGTGTGATACTCGTCAACCCTTAGGTGCACACGTGGGGGTACTCAAGACCCCGAAAATTTTGTATTACCAGTAGTTGTTTGTACATGTAGAGTCTTTACAAAAATATTCTGAAGATGGAATCCCCCCCTCTCCGTGCACACTCATGTATTTATATATCGAAGATTGGAACCTTTGGCACGATAGATAATACACTACACACTGTTTTACCACTAACCAAACCGATTTTTTTACACCTGGACACGTGTTTCGCTAACTATGTTAGCATCTTCAGGAGAAGATTAAAACTGAATGCTCTATCCTAGTGGGCTCCGTATACAGGTTAACTCACGGTCGATGGTACGTTAGACGTTTATGGAGAACGCAACGCAGGATTCTTCTGAAAATTTCGCATCTTACATTTTATCACCTGTTCTATCGATCTAAAATATTTTCGAAATTGCGACGTTGCCGTTTCTATCAAAAAGTCCTAGCAACTTAATTTTTTTAAATGGAACACCCCGTATATTAAAAAATTTTTAGAATTGCCTTTTTATTACAATACTCGTTTGTTAATAAATCCCTGTACCTATCTCGATTGGTTTTCGAGATAAAAAATAATTTGTGTTAAATATGATCCAAAACATATCCCTAATGTTTATTTCTTGAAGCACTGTCAATAACAATTACTGAATTACTCATTAATGTCACCGAACTGTCATGAGTTTGATATTTCCATGGCTATCTAAAATTAACTTTTTCATAAAATTATATTTTTCACAAAAAGCGGCTTTATTAGGAAAACTTGATGATTTAGGTATAGGGACATGCTATGTCATCTTGTAGCATTTTTATTCGTCTTTCAATTTATTGAGTAAAAAATAGTGGGTTCCATTTGGAAAAATGAACTTTTGACCACTTTTATGAACAACGGATATAATAATAATTTCAGCACGCCCTGTATGATATGGAGGCGACTTCTCGGTGTGAATTGAATAAATCAAGCCTGTCCAAACCACCACTAAAATATCAACTCATTATGTTTCGAGAGCCCTGATTTACATAAGTTCATTTAGGGATATGTTTTGGATCCTATTTAACACAAATTATTTTTTATCTCGAAAACCGATAGAGATAGGTATAGGGATTTATCAACATAAGAGTATTGTGAGTAAAAGGCAATTCTGAAATTTTTTTAATATACGGGGTGTTCCATTTAAAAAAATGAAGTTGCTAGGAGTTTTTGATAGAAACGGCAACGTCGCAATTTCGAAAATATTTTAGATCGATAGAACAGGTGATGAAATGTAAGATGCGAAATTTTCAGAAAAATCCTGCGTTGCGTTCTCCATAAACGTCTAACGTACCATCGACCGTGAGTTACCCTGTATACTTACCCCACTAGGATAGAGTATTTAGTTTTAATCTTCTCCTGAAGATGCTAGCATAGTTAGCAAAACACGGGCCCAGGTGTGAAAAATCGGTTTGGTCATGTATTTATGTTTCTTTTAGAATTCTAAACACACACATCGTTTCGATATTGCATGTGAATCAGTTATTTTGAGTTATTGTATGTCAAGTAAACGATAATGGATATTGTAAAAGGAAATTTGGTTGAAAATGAAAGACGATTAATGTAGCTCAAAGAAATGGACATGTCTTTACTCAAAACAGTTCAAAGAAGATCCATAATGTTCATATCTCAAAAAAATTAGATGATCGATCTGTCCAAAAAGTAAAACTGTATTTTTTCTCTTCGAAATTTGTCATGTTTGCGAAAAATGCTTTACTGCAATATCAGATCAAGATTCAGATCAGCCAGACTATGTACAATCTGTGGACAGATGGATACAACTTTATAACTTTGATTATCATTTGTTTTATGCTATTTTTATTTCGTTAATTTTCAAGGGAATAGAATGAACAAAATATATATCACACGATTGCTTCATTTCAATCAAAGAAATCAAACTACTCTACGTATGCACCTAAGGATTTAATATAATAGGAAATTTATTAACATGTCTGCAGGTATATATATGAATGTGATATTCATACTCGACAGAAGTTGACGCTGTCAATTGGTAATATTATACTGGAATCCTGTTGGCTAATAAATTTGCTATCTTTAACAAGTATCACACAGTCTTCACATAAAAAAAACATTAAGAAAAACAAAAAAAAAATGGTGACATTACACCTAGACGGTGAACAATTTGAAAATATGAAATGGAATGACTACTTTTGATATCTCAAAACGGTACGTGGTGGTGACGACCTACCTTGTAAATTCATGTAATGACAAAGGAATGAATATGGTACAAACAAACCCGATCAAACTGTACCATTTCCATGTTTCACAAAGTAAACTACTCCACATTTGAAGTGATACAAGCAGAAGTTTATCTTTGAAAGGTCATAACTTTTTATTTAGTCAACCTATTTAGAATTTTGCCGGCTCAGTACATTGGATACATCTTCTTTTTTTTTATGTTTTCATCATTGCGTTAGGATCTACAAGATCGAAAGTTAAAGATTCGATAGAATTTTGGATTCTCATTTTTTCTATGCCACTTCACAATTATTGTAGCTCACTGTACACAATAACCATTCTTAGTGGCTCAAGATTTTCTGTAATATCATGAAAGATTCATTGCTAAGTTAGTTGATAGGTAGATGGCAGATCTCAATGAGGAAAAACTAACCAGAAAAATTCATTTCACAAATTGACTTTTGCACACGACAACTGTTTCGCCAAACATTAGCTTCTTCACGGTGTATATCACACTAAATTGATTTTACGAAATGCCTCATTGATATAAAATTGAAATGAAGTAGGTAAATACAAAGTAATATAAAACAAATTATGACGAAGTAAATCTAGGGCGACAGGTATACTGAGACGGACGTACAGATTTGGTAAATACATTTTACAATGGTCTATTCTTTAGGTGTATCTGGTCGTTACTTTATGAGTGTATTTGACCGTTTTAAACCAATGCATCTTAATGATTTTAGAAGGGTTTAGTTCTATTCCATTATTTTCAACTTGCAAAATTTTCAAAATCTCTTCTAACATATAGGATTCTTCTAACAAATGATTGGCGTTTACGACCTGTTTGACCTATTTATGTTTTTGGACAAGACCAACATTCTTTTGAACGGAGACGATAGCATTGCTTCCTGTTCAGACAATAACCGCCAAGTTAATGTTATTCTAGGTTGAATTCACATGTTATATTACTAAACTATACAGAGGGCTAAATGGGATAGTTCCATCATCCTTATTCATTACTCTATCACTATTCTTAAATATCTATGAAAGCTTAGAGATATTTAAGAATAGTAATAGAGTAATGAATAAAGATAATGGACCTATCCCATTTAGCCCTCTGTATAGTTTAGTAATATAACATGTGAATTCAACCATGAATAACATTGACTTGGCGGTAATTGTCTATTCACGGTTGAATGGACATATACTTAACCCACTAGGATAGAGCATTTAGTTTTAATCTTCTCCTGAAGATGCTAACATAGTTAGCGAAACACGTGTCCAGGTGTAAAAAATCGGTTTGGTCATGTATTTATGTTTCTTTAAGAATTCTAAACACACACATCGTTTCGATATTGCATGTAAATCAGTTATTTTGAGTTATTGTAGGTCAAGTAAACGATAATGGATAATGTATTTAAATACTTTGCAAATAATCAAGTATTTTGAAAGTATTTAAATACTTTGTAAATACTCAAATACTTTGAAACTATTCAAATACTCACTGTGAACTATTCAAATACTTTTTGTATTTGTTATTGGAATACTTTTTGGCCTTTGAAAATATTTAATATTTAAATATTTTCAATATCCGGAAGTATTTAATACTTAATATTTAATTACTTTTCTCACAGTATTTGCCCAGCTCTGGTCTCTAGGTTGATATGTATTTCTCTACTATTCCTATGATTTCAATATCATTACACTATGCAATTATGCTGTCCATTTTTGGTAAGTTTATGCTCAACCAACTTGATTTGTCCATATGTCTTTTTTAATATTGAATGTATGTTCTTCCGTTCTTACAGAGGAAGGTTTAATGTATAAAAAACTCTTTGATGACTATTTGTATTGTTTTTTTATTTGTTTGGGCAAATTGATCTCTTTGTATTTTCAGTCTGATACACAGCTCTCACTCGAAACTTATATAACACCAACACGCCCACCACGTTTTCTTTTTTTCAGATATGCCGGAAATGTGTGGTAATTATATTTGTTTTTATTAATAGTTGATTTCGCTGTGGTGTATTTTGCCATCACTCTATGTCACTGACAAGTGACAAAAAGCAAGACAGAAAAAATAATTCATGTTCTGGAGTAGGAAATCCCAAAAAAATTGAGGCAAACATTTATGGCATTTTTCAACTGAAAACAAAAAATCAGATCTCAATGAGGAAAAACTCACCAGAATAATACGTTTCACAAATTCACTTTTGCACACTACAACTGTTTCGCCAAACATTAGCTTCTTCACGGTGTGTATCGCACTAAATTGATTTTAAGAAATGAAATTGAAATAAAGTAGGTGAATACAAAGTAATATAAAGCAAATAATGACGATGTAAATCTAGGGCGACAGGTAAACGGATTAACTACTGAGACAGGCATACATATTTGGTAAATACATTTAACAATGGGCTATTTTTTAGGTCCATCTGGTCGTTCAGTAGTGTATTTGAGCGTTTCAATCCATTGTCTCTTAATGACACTAGAAGGATTGAATTTTATTCCATTATTTTCAACTTTCAAAATTTTCAAAATATCTTCTAACGTATAGGATTTTTTCAACAAATAATTGATAGTCTCCTGTTCTTTCAAATTTTGAGCATAACAATTGGATAGATACACTTGCTGAAAGGTTGATTCATAAAGTTCTTGGACAAGAGCTTATTCATATCTATACTAAATCCGTTATTGACTGCTATTTGCTTGATGATGTTAAGTGTTGAGAAATTCAAAAAAGACTGAAAAAATACTTATGCCTTTGATTATCTTTATATCATCCTGAATTAATTCGAGAAATTATATTCAACAGTCTCTAGAAGACACAACATTATATGTATTATGTATATGATTTAAAAATGATTATCTGATTATCTAATTTTTTTTTTAGTTGCTCTTTCATAATTTTCCCTGCTATAAACATATATGTTTCTTGGGAATAATAAAGATGAAGATAATATCGTAAGTTCTTTGGTGAAATTTTCAAGATAGGTACAAACAAGACGATGTCATACTGTTATAGGCTGCAAGTTCATGTTGAATAGAGGTATCAAGCATAGTAATATCCGTAACAGTTGTCGTGTTGTCGTGTGCGAAAGTGAATTTGTGGAAATTATTAATCAGGTTAGTTTTTCCCCAATATTATAAAGAATACTCATCAGTCGATTCAATTCAAAACAAATCTCCATATAGACATAACGATGAATTTTGAATTGACTCGGCTGTTACTGATTTTTGTCCAATTATGATGACAAATTTTGCTAACTCATGATTTAACATCAACGTTCTAGTCGGATATCATGTCTTTTTAACAATCCAAATTTCTGTTGAAATTGAGTTACATTAGTTGGGTATACCAAGATGCACCATAGCACCCTGAAGGTCATAAAAGAAACTGTTTTAGTAGTAGTAATGAAATGAGCTATCAGAATCCGTGAACAGGGTTGCCACGATTTGAATCAACTGATTTCAATCATGATTCAAATCGCGATTTAAATGAACTATTTTTTTCTATATGAATCATGATTTAGATCAAATATTAAAAATTGCTGTAAAAACTAGTCGCCAAAGCAAATAAATCACCAGGAAATTAAAAAAGAAAGATAGTTCATTTAAAGCTGTGTAAAGTGTTCACATACATTATGAGAGTATAAAAACGAATTTTCTCATTCCGACAGCAAGGCGGCGACACGCAACCGAAAAATATTTTTTCAGCAAAAGTTACATTGTAAGTCGCCGAAGAGATTTTCGAACTTTGAATCTAGACAACAAATATTTTTGGGCGAATAGAGAAAAATAATGAAAATAAGTGATTTTAAGTTAGGAATAAATCTCTAAGTCATCTCCACGACATTTGAGTTAACATGGTTATGTGACAAAAAGGGGGACATGATTCGGGCTTATAATAATACCATCATCAGCCAAAGGTACTACAACGTCCTACAATGAGTATAAAACTAATTAGACAAAATAAATTTCGTAAATTTCTGAATATACGAATAAAATCAAAATTGTGAAAATTATGGCAGTTTATGAGAGGGGCTTGTAGCCTCTAGGAATTGATCAAGAGGTTTTCATAGTGGTGTTTCAGGTGATAAACCCCGTTCGTATTAATTTTCTTGAAAAAGAACATTTGAGTGCAATCAATGGTTAGCTGTCACTAAAAATCAAGGTTACAAGAAAGTCAAATATCAAGAATCTGAGTGAGAAGAAGTCAACACGACAGATGACAAGTGACCGATAATCAAGGTTACAAGAAAAAGTCAAATGTAAAAAATCTGATTTTCAAGATGAAAACAGGACAGATGAAAAGATACAGTGAAAAATAATAACAATATTATGTAAATGGATAAGAGATGTACCAGGTGGAAACAGAGGTTACAAAATCGTTTCGCAAAAATGAGATGATGGAATACAAACCAAATGTAAATAATGAGGAGCAAGGGAGAAGGAAGAATCCGAAACGAGTTTCCTGCCATTTCAATTTCATTGAAGTATTCAAAAATTTACAAAATCCAAGATGTGCCGGAATTGCTAACTTTTTTCATCCTCATGTAAGTAATTTAACAATCATATCATGCCTGTTATCAGTTTTATACTCCTTGTGGGACGTTGAAGTACCTTTGGCTGATGATGGGATTATTATAAGCTCAAAACATGGCCCCCATATTGTAAAATAACCATGTTAACCAATGAAATGTCGTGGAGATGACTTAGAGATGTATTATTTCTTCAACTACTACCACTTCACTTTGAGCAGTATGGACTTCTTCACAAGTTAAGGTTGAAAATTCATTATTTCCATATTTGTAGAGAAAAAATTCAGTATACATAAAAAAATCACGATTTAATAAAAAAAAACAGTTTTTTTTTAAATCATGAATTTATGCAATTCGTCTGTGAAGATTGAAGTTATGCCGGTTCGATAATATAATAAATGTTCACTTGTCTCACTTCAAATGTCGTGCAGTTTGATCACCTGACTGTTTCGTGGCTCCTAATCCTTTCAAACAACGAACAAGAAATACTGATTGAAATAATGTTAAGAAAAATATGAAAACTCACCTCATAAACGCACCATGGATCAATTCACCAAGTGAACAAAAAAAAGGCGCATCAAGCTCAAATAAACTTACCATTTGTGAAGAATATTCAACCAGATTTGCATTGAGGTACTTATCAATTGGTACATTTCTAAATTCGAAGCTATGGTGAGTTTTAAAGATTAAGTGAGTTGAGTTTCAAATGTCAGGTCGATGATTTTCAGAAATTAAACATTCTCGTGAATGTCATCTCCGTTGGAACATATTCAAAAGTTAGACTAGTGAATATATTTTGACAGCACTGAGTACTGAATGGAATTGAGCTCTTTTCTACCTTGAACGAGAGAGAGAGGAAAGTTCTCTCCCATCCTTCTCTTCAATGCTACCAACATGGCCGCATTGAAATGTAAAGAGGCCCGATAAATCTCTCCTTGTTTAATCTCTAGTCTGCGCCACTGAACTATTTTAGATGTTATTTGTGATAGAAATAACAAGACACTCCACCTGACGGTAACAACTTGAACTTTGAGCGGTTCGTTTTGATGATGTGACCAATGAGCACAAACAAAAAAACAAATGTGAACCAATGGAAACAAAGTAAACATGCCACTTTGACAGATTTCAAGAACCCCGATAGGTGGCGTACGCTTATTTTCTGTCGCGAATAATGATATTCTTTCCTTCAATAATCCTGATATCATATGCTTGAATGACCAAATTCAATTTGATTGCATTCCCTTTTTCAACTCATTAAATTTTGTTGATTTTTGATTATTCACAATCTTTTCAGTATTTCTCCCTTTTTCCACATATTCCAAAATTCGAAATACAAAATTTTTGAAGTTTTCAGACACAGCACACCATCTGTCTGCTGTCTCACAATTCACTTACCATAAACTTGTTACTTGCCATTACAGGTTTCTTTTGAGTAATCTCATTACAGTTTTCTATCTTTCCTTTACTCTTCAACAAGTTATATTTTCATCATCGACAGCGCTTTGGCCTTCCATTGTTTCAATAATGATCAAGACACGCAGAGCTTCTTCAGCTACCCTTGAAGAATTTGATTTTCCCTTTGGAGGATTGGGCTTTCTGCCTTCCTCCCAATTCCACCGACATCACTTCATTTCCATTAAATTAAATAAATAATTGATGATGTTCCAATAATAATTTTTTTTTTCGCCTTTATGATGTTTTGAAGTAATTTCCACGTGAGTACAACCTTCTTATCTATGGTTCTCCATTTTGTTGTCAGAATTTTTGATTTAATAAAATTTTGTTTTTCACTTTTTACTATCAATACTGATCAATTATCATTGTTATACTTATGAAAATCACTGTTGCTCTTTTATCCTACTGAAATTGGTCGTGGGTTCGATTTCCAGCACGGGCAAGGAACTGTTTTCAATATTTTATTTACGAATTAAATATTGTAAAATTTCGGAGCATCGGCTGGGGATAGTCCTGCACGATTCGCTGTTGCGTTCCAATTAACAGTGCTGCTCCTAAAGTGGCGCATGGAGTTAGTAACAAAGCCTACACAGAACACGCAGAAAGATATGATGATGTGGTTGTGAGCATCAGAGAAGAAGTAGGACGGTGTATGTAGGTGGGTGTGGAAAAACTACCAGCTGAGCGTGAGAGCGGGCCAGCTGCTTAAGTAGACCTCGGTCTCGGGGGTTAACGATGATAGTTAGCAGGCCTGCCACTGCGCATATGGTAGTGAGTACATTACTAGCCTACAAAACACAGCTGAAAAACTCTGAAAAGAGAGCTGATGGGCGGTGCCTGAAAAGGATGTTAGCCAGCTCTCTTGAGCGAACCACATCAGTCATTGAAAAACACTTGGGGTTGGCAAAAAGGTCCCATTGGGGACTAGTTGCTGACGTGGAAACGTCCCCCACCAGTACCAGCACCAGTACCTACTGAAATTTGTTAATCAATTCAATTTTGAATTTACAACTGTTGTCTTTTCCATTTCAATTTCTTCTTTATATAAAATCATGTTTGGTTTCTATTGTAGATACAATTTGCTAATTTGACTGAAGATGGCCATTTGAATGGCCGAAACATGTATCAACTTTCAACCTTATTGAAGCAGGATTGACTGCCTTCTTAGACATTAAAATTGTGGAGACGACTTTGAGTTTTTCTCTTTTGAGATATTTCACTTGAACTGAATTGAATCAGTTAACATGCATTCTAACTAATAAAATTCTTTCAAAAGAACATATAATAACTGATTCAGTTCAGTTCTAGTGAGATATTTCAGTTAGTTCAGATTATATAATGATGTGATATGGCTACGTCATACATGTCATTGACTAATAACCTTTCAAATTAATGAAATAACAGATTATATCATACTTATTTTGACATCTTTTGTTGATATCGGTAATTTGACACTCGATTAAATTCGAAAATAGTTCAGTGGCACAAACTACATATTAGACAAGGAAAGATTTATCGGACCTCTCTATATTTCAATGCGTCCACGTTGGTAGCATTGAAGAGAAAAATGGAAGAGGAAAGAACTTTCCTCTCTCTCGTTGAAGGTAGAAAAGAGCACAATATGCAATAATACAT